TGTCGGAGAGTGTTTGGATTAGAGAGCATCGTCTACGGTCCAGTAACATAGTATTTAAAAGATAACAATTAATAACGACCACCGTAATGATGGACACGGATAGGTTCTCAAAGATATTGTTCTTCAACAAACACTGTTCGATGATATTTCTTTTGGTGAAATCTGGATATATCGATTGTACTTAGCACTTTTTTCTTATCTTTCAAAAAGTGTAGAGCATATATATATAAAGAACATGTATCTGTATCTTTCTTTACGGGATAACATTCACAAAAGCAATTTATCGTGAATCTTTACAAAACTTAGACACAAAAGAACAATAGAAAGCGAAATAATTCATCTCATCTCATTGCTTCTGATAAAATGGCTAATCAAATACACTTGGAATCGTATATTGATTATTTCATATTTCTTTTTTAAATATTATATCTTTCTTCAACCGGTTTATTTGATTGTTTTGATGACACTGAGATCTGTCGTTATGGTCTCTTTTACCCATATTGTCTATTTGGAGACAATGTTGAGAGAATGGAAAGTTCGGTTACCTTTGCCTGTACTTGCTTTTTACGAATCTTACTGGAAATTTATTACCATTATATTATGTGAAGTATGATCAAATAGCATAGAAAGAAAGAGCATTTTTTTCTCTATCATCCTGTCTAAAAAGAAACTTTTATCAAGCTTACTAAGTGGTACTAAAATGTCGTTGCCACTACTTTTGGATACCCCTAAGTAGATAATTTACCTAAATAAAATCGAATAAATGTAATCTGCTTTATTTCAGTATTCAGTGATCCTTTATATATCTATCGGTATCATAAAGAAATTCTTTGTTTTTCAATGTATTTTCCATTTCTGTACGTAGAAAAAACTAAAAAGTAGGTTAGGCATCAAAACTAGAGACATTTCTTCATATCTGTCATATTATTTTCTTTACTTGATTTTGTAATAGTTAATACTACGTAGAAACTAATCATTTGACGTTCGCTATTTTTTCTCACGATGTTCTACCTAAAGTATTACTACAAAATATTTAGAATAATATTTTTTTAAACGAAAAAAGTCAAAATTGTTTATCGGATACATAGATATCGCATAAAAAAGTGTATTTAAATGCGTTTTACTTGCCTGACCCCTCGAGACGGTCTGTCACATGTTTCTAGAATTCGTAAGTATACTAATGGTAATTTGAATAGATAATGACGAGAAACAAAAAACGAAGTTTTAATGTCACAACGATAATTCATCACATTAACACGTTTCTTTTCGTAGTTTTCAATTATTTGACCAATAGATTTTTTCGTTCAAATTCATTGTTTTCTTTGCTTATTTATTTTTTCTTCAATTTCTTTCGCTCGAGCGCGTTCATGATAGTATTTCTTGCTTTATAATCTAATGCATTGATTTTTGCGCAGAAACATTCTCCTCATGCAAATAAATATTTATTCTCACTAAATCAAGATAGAATGAGTATGATCAATTGAGAAATATGCTTGTGTAGAGAACAAGAAATGAGTTCGACATTTTGGTTGCTTTTAGTTTCCTTGTATTTTCTTTGCTTCGCTTTAGACAATATCGTCATATGAGGAATCGCTCTGAGGTCATCGACAATTTATCAGTTTTTTTTTCTATTAATAATGCCAACGAGTTGTTATTTTGATTTTCATGGTAATCATAGAATCATAACTAGAGAATAGTTAAATAACAATAGTTGATATCTTCAAAACATATCTCCGAATAAAATAGTGTTAGGTGAGTGAGAAGATATGATGGAACTTGCGCACATGTTAACTATTTACTGACACATAGTTACTTCGTATCATTATAAAATAAGCGAATCCTATCGAGTAAAGAAACAACTCAATACTTCATGATTATTTGAGAGCTAGTTAAGACTATATCTTCTAATTCCGAAATAAAACATGTAAAAACATGTTTTAATTATGAAACGAAAATTTAACCCGTTATGAACGCGTTAACCTATTCAATACCGTAAAAGCTCGTTTCAGAATTATAACGCGTACCTAATACATTAGAATGTGCAATTTTTATATTTTGGGACATGTTCATATTTGATCCATTTTTAAAGGTTTTTTTCATTGATTTTGTCTGCCTAGTTGACGTTAGCATGTGAAGTTCAGACAAACTGCTGATGTTCTATTTTACGAGCGATTATGGACATAGAAAGTTCTTAATCAATCAACTGTTGGTCTCAATTTTTTTTGATTGTGATGTCTCGTACATTTTTCTCTTATTTTTTAGTACTCTTCACTCTTTTCAGTTGTTATGATTTGGTACTCAGATTCATTTCATTACCACTGAATATTGGCACTTTTGAGGATATAATTCAGTGTTCGTCTTATCCGAAACAGTGCTATTATCACTTGATGGCGGCACTTTATCATTATACTGATATTTTTCTTTTTTTTTTTGTTATAATCTTTCAAATCCTTCAAAATTCGGAGAGCATATGTTATGATGTTTCTGTTCTTTTTGAAATCTATTGATCAATTGGAGAACTCGAACTATTACATTTGAATATTGTGTTCACTCTTCTGTAGTTAGCTCAATAAAAATAGCAAAGACAGAGAAGAAAAATACTATAATATATTGAAGAGCTATAGCATTCCATGAAAAATATTCTTTTTTCTCCGAATGCTTTTTTTTCTACCATGACTTCAATTGAATCCGTCTCATGATATGAAATTTCTGATGGAACATACACTCTTGATTAACCCTTTACTCCTCATAGCGATTACACAAGAGTCAATGATAAAATGATTTCCTAAATACAGCATTACTCTCACTCCCTAATATACCAATGGTGTACATCGATTCATCGAGTGTTCTGCTTCAAGCAAAGTATAGTTTGATTGATTCAGCAATCATGTTGTGGTAAAAGAGAATCAGAAGACCTGGTAGATATTGATTTTTTTTTCTTTGACTACATTATCATGTGGGTAGAGGCAGCATCTATCCCGTGCTATTGAAATAATTGAAAAATACCAAGGAGTGAACTGATAAAAATCAATACCAGAAGAATACATGCTGTCAAATAAACAGCTATTTTGATTCGAGCCATTTAATAACTTAACTGAGGACATTGCGTTCATGATAAATACTATTTCAACTTATCCATCCTAGTTTATAATACACACACATTAATTTTGTTCTTCGTTATCTTCAATCTGCCTAATTGTGATTGCATTGCCAATCTCATCTTCCTTTTATATTTGTAATTCGAAGTTTTAAAATGAAACTTTCAAAACATATATAATTCATGAATGGGCTTCGTTATCGATTTATATTAGACAGAAATTCCAAACGATCTCTATTAATTGTAGTTAGAAAACGTTTTGTTTAAATTATCATCGATTTTGTAGGACTGAAATTGCACAGGTGATGCAAGGAAAAAAAACATTCGTTTTACCAATCGACAGCCCTTGAAGTTTATTACAAAAAAGTTTCTTACCGTTTTTCAATCCAACGCTTTCTTTATTTTTGCAATTGATCTGCCCTTGGTAATTTCAGTGACCAGAAGGGGTAAAGGCTTAATATTCGCTCAGAGTGTGGGTGTTGGTGAGGTTTGTGGCTGTGACTGTATATTCTCTTTAGCCTGATTGACACCCACATACCCCCATAGTGGGGAGTATTCGCATAAGCAGGCGGACATACTGTTTTTTACTCAGAAATGGCTTTCCTTTGCTTAGAAATAATGATATACCACTTAGGGAACCGTCTTTAAGAAAATAGAAGGGTTTTTCAGAAAACAAATTTTCGAAAAAATGTGGCTCGTGGTACCTCAGTCATTGTTTTTTCGAAAATTGTTTTTTTCAAAAATATGTTGAGGTACATATCATTCGACGTAGTTTAATGTGCTGATTCCGAATATCATCTTAGTTTTTCTTCAAAACACAATATAGAAGTCCTAAATCGGATTTTTGCGCAAAAACCATGGGTTTTTGGAAAGCCTGTAGAATAGCCTAGGCAAAGTTTCGCGAGTTGGCGCTACTACAGTAATTAGGATACATGTGTACGTATATGTGGTAAAAATGCACGCTTGATCAGACATAATCCCTTTGTAGACTTTCGGGTAGCTCTTCGGTATAGAGACTCCTTGTTTTCTACTCTATATTAAATTGGATTATGATTATTTTTTTACCATAAAGTTCATAGGTGAGCAAGTTTTTTGCGATATTGTTTGATTGTAGAATATTGTATTATATTGCTGAGCGGCTTGATTTTCTTTATTTATGCTGATTTCTGGGCCCAAGCCTTGGCAGGCTCTTTTCGTGGGCTCTATAAAACTTTGAGAATTGGTATTTTAGGAAATGATAGATCACATATGTATGTATCTACGCAAACGGTTAGATTCTGGAAAAGAATATTTTCGTATATGTCCGCCTGGCTCCCCACTGTGGGCTTATTCACACCCAACTTTATAGAAATCTGACTGATATAGAAAACATTTCAATAATTTTTATTCGGTAATTTTCGACTTGTTTCTTTTATATCAATTGTTTGGATTGTATCACAAGAAGATTATCGATTATGTATGTATATATTGGAAAACTAAATCAAGCTGAAGACTTTTCTATTACTCTTTGTGAACTTAATGAAATAGTATTTATGCCAGAAACACAAGCATTGTTATAAAATAGCAAAGATCAAACATATCGATTATCTATGAAAGTAAATCTTCAAATATTATATCCGGAAAATGATTATATTGATAAAAATATCCATAGTGTAAATAGTAAATTATAATATTATGCCAATCTATGGTATAATAAAATTCAAATAGCTCGTTTAGACTTAACACCAACATTGTATACAAGAAAACGTGATTCAGTCGATATTGGTATCAGTAGTGTTTGATCAATCTTTCTTTTATTCTTATTTTCTATCTTTTATTATATAGTTTATATGTTCCGTTGTAAGAAATACAAAAACGAAATGTCTTTAAATGAAAAAAGAAAAAAATTCAGTTAAATATTGTTTTAAACATATGCTTCACATTCCTTTTGATTTAATTTCTCATAATATTTAGTATTGGTATTGCTAGCACTAGCATTACCGACATAAACTTCAGATTGCGTTCTACAACCACTGTCAACTGAAGAACTATAACCAATATGTTTCGATGATGATGATGAATGACTTGTTTCACCAACATTAATAGTTTTTGTAGCAGCAAGTACTTGAATTCCTTTATAGCTATTTCCACTTGATGATGAACAACCTTGATTGATTCTTCCGTAAGACTGATGAAAATGAACAGTATTTCCGTATGTATTTGTATTTATTAAAGGTGTTACTGCCGAAGATGACTAAAATAAAGAATTTTTATAGCTTTTTCCTAAAGGCATTTTTTTGAAAAAAGTATACTATATCTTCATTAACACCAGCTTTAACAGCTTCATGAGCAAGTATTTCAGAATCTAAAAGTGATGTTCCATAACGAACTTTATAATCATAAGGATTTTCTCGAATAACACCAAGATTTTCAAATTTTCGGACTATACGTTTATCAACATCTTTATAATTAACAACAGTATGAGTTGGTTTGGGATATTCTATAGCAGGAGGAGCGCGCTTAATAAATATTTCGCGTTCAGGTTGAGGTCCATAGGGTAGCCATCGTTCAATTTTAATTTCACCTAAGTAGCACAAACAAACAACAATCTGAAATAAAAAAAACCAAAAAGAAAAATGAAAATAATTCTTTTACGTGGTTTTTCTGGAAGTCGTGGCAAAACTTCGATGCGAACCGATCGTGGTGGAACAGGTATAGGAGGTAATTCACGAATATCTATAAAACAAAATGTATTGAGAAATTTTACTTATTTAATTTATATTTTCTCTTCCTAACATTTTTCACTGCAACCATGTAGCGGTGGCTTTGGTGGTCGTTCACGTAAAATTAGTGGAGGTGGCGTAGAAACACGTGGTTCATGCTGGCGTATGACAAGCGGTTCAGGTGGTGGTGGTTGTGGTGGACGTACTTCTTCAATAACGATCGGCTGAAATCATACAAAGATATGTAAGATTGAATTTGTAAAGAATTTGAATCATTACTCCTGGTGGTGGAAGAGCTGGTGGTTGTAGATATTGAATAATAACTCGCTGTTCATATGTTACTGGAATGTCAGCTTTTACTGATTCAATAATAACTCGCTTAGGATCCAAATAAATACTCCCAGCTAATTCAGCAAGACGTTGTTTTGTTTCTTCTTCACTATACGTGTCAATCGGACTGTCAATAATCAACTGACTAGTTGCTGTTGTACCCTGTAAAAAAAAGAGTAGAATATTAAACGATTGCCCTCTTGGCAGTTTTTTATAGGCCCTTACAAGGTTTATGACAACCTTCTGCACCCTTAAAGGGTTTATGAAAGCAAGGGTATATGAAAACAAAAAGGGAGTACGTCCACGCAGGTCCACCCACTTTTTAGAGAACTTTCTGTCGGCAAGATTTAAGTATGCTACTGTAGTCTTGTAGCCCGTGTCAAATTATGTACGAATTGCTATTTGGTTTTGATTAGAATCATGCGTTAACTGAAAACAGCAGGCTCAGAAATCGATTTTCTCGAAAAATGCCCCCGAGAATCGGTCTATTATTTTTTTTTGTTGAGCATTCTTGCAAGCTTTCGATTTAACCATTAGATAGAGCATAAAACGTCGTTTAGGTAAAACAATTTTCAGCATTATATCTCTAAAGCTCATCGCTTGAGAGTATTTGAGAATTTAAGAAGTATTACCCTTCTTTCTGATAAAAATATAATCTTTATAAAATTTACATATTCAATCAGAGACCATAACATTTTATATCCAAAACGAACTTTACACAATGCTCATTCTAACGTCTATTAAGTCTCAATTATCTCAAAAACCACAAATCAGAATTTGATGACAAATTTTTTATAGATAAAGCTCAACAAGTACTACTAATGATTAAAATATCAGACTTCACCTTTCAGGAATACATGAGCTGGATTTTCGGCAAGTTTGTCCGAATTTGACGCCCTATTGTAAGTTTTTAACAGATTTCATTGTTTAAAACGAGAGATTAACAACTGATTATAGGATTTTTTTTATGTTGATCACAAACCATGATGTCTCTTGTTTTTAATGAAATTTGAGAAGATTTAAAAACACCGAAAAAATGGAAAAAACAACTTAGGGTTTTTTCTGCGTTTTCGATTTTTTAATTGATCAATCAGAGATGAATCATATAGATCATTTAAGAAATTTTGCTTGTCACTACATTGTTTTGTCAATGATTGTGACAGCTAGAGAAAATCAATCTTCTGAAAAAATGTCTTCGATTTCCTCAAGCTGTTGAAGGGAAATCAAGTAGGTTTTGCGTGTATCAAGCTTTGGCGCTTCGTCGAGCAAAAATCATACTCTGAAAAATCCAATACATACGCAAAAGAAAAGGCGATTCGTAAAAAAGATTTAAACAAACATGATTAGAAAATACGGAAACGTCCATCATATATATATATCACACGAAAGGAAAGAAACTGTGATATATGATTAACAGCATGACATTAGAAAAGAACATAAATGCATGCGTATGATCATATAGATAAACAGGGATACCCTTATGGTCGATTTTGATGGAGATGTAAGGCACACACTAATGTTAAAAAAAACAGAAAAAATCGTAAGTTCTTTTTTCCATTTTTTCAGTTTTTTTAAATCTTCTCAAATTTCATTAAAAACAAGAGACATCATGGTTTGTGATCAACATAAAAAAACCCTATAGTCAGTTGTTAATCTCTTGTTTTAAACAATGAAATCTGTTAAAATCTAACAATAGGGCGTCAAATTCGGACAAACTTGCCGAAAATCCAGCTCATATAATCCTGAGAGGCGAAGTCTGATATTTTAATCATCAGTGGTACTCGTTGAGCTTTATCTATAAAAAATTTGTCATCAAATTCTGATGTGTGGTTTTTGAGATAATTGAGACTAAATAGACGTTAGAATGAGCATTGTGTAAAGTTCGTTTTGAATATAAAATGTTATGGTCTCTGATTGAATATGTAAATTTTATAAAGATTATATTTTTATCAGAAAGAAGGGTAATACTTCTCAAATTCTCAAATACTCTCAAGCGATGAGCTTTAGAGATATAATGCTGAAAATTGTTTTACCTAAACAACGTTTTATGCTCTATCTAATGGTTAAATCGAAAGCTTGCAAGAATGCTCAACAAAAAAAAAATAATGGACCGGTCCTCGGGGGCATTGTTCGAGAAAAGCGGATTCGGAGCCTG